GTAATGCAGTTTGGGCAAATAATTATCCCTCAAAACTAAAAAAGATTCTCAAAATACAAAAACGAGCAGTTAGAATCATCACATTAAGTTCATATAATGCAAAATCGGTACCACTTTTTCGAAAAACAAAACTGTTAAAAATTGTGCAACTTAACAAACTATGCATTAGCCTTTTTATGTACGATTACGCAAAAGGAAATTTACCTACCTTTTTTGACAACTATTTTACTTTGAATAGCGAAATTCATAAGCATAATACAAGAAGTACAAATTTGATCCATAAAAAAGGCAATAGAACAAATTATGGAAAATTTTCAATAAAATATACGGGAACAGAAATATGGAATGGAATACCAAAAAAAATAAAAGATTCATGTACAAAAAAGAAATTCAAAACGGAAATGAAAATATATTTGTTGTCTCAAGACAAACTATAACGTCATGTTATATAGAATAAAATTAGAAACATAATGATTAGTGTACACTAGGGAATAAAAAACAACTTTTAGAGTACGATTATATAGAATGTATTTAGTAATTGTTCCGCATATAATTTAACTATATGTACTCCAATTGAACTGAAGAACCGCAATGTTTACCTGATAGATATTAGAAATAGACATATATTAACATTATAGCTATTAGTATTACCTCAAGGAGGACTACTCGCAAAAGCCTTTTGGGTTTATTATAGTCCTTCTTCCAAATATGTAAACATATTAAATAATATAACTCGGGAAATGTAATGTACTATAAGCATACTTGGAAAATAAATTCAAACAAAAAAAATACTGCAATGACTTGTAATGATAATACCCTTATACCCATATTACTGTAATTGTATATACTTCAAAATATTCAATCATGATTTAATTAATGTTCTGTCAACTTTCCAATTAATATAAACAACCTTCCAATTAATATAAAAATCTAACTATAAAGTACATATAAAAGGAATGTCACTTATAAGTGAAACAAGATATGGTTTGCTAAAAACCAACTTGAAATATGCCGAGAATACTCTATTAAAGAAATATCAGTAACTACTTTGTTTGATTGTTTCTACTTTCGACGCTACACTTCAGTAATATTGTTTATTAAATATTGTTTATTAAATATTGTTTTTAACCTTAATTGAATGACAAACAATCACATCAGTTGCTTAGTGGTGAATTCAATATCAAAGCTTGACTCTTAATGGGCTATTACATTTAATACCCGTACCCCCCGAGGACCTCATTTTCCAAGGGGAAATTAGTCATTTTTTCCAGAGGGGTAATTGGGGAAAATGGTAGCCTGCGTAGCAGGCGTTTAGCTGACGGGCGGGAACTGAGGGAACGCCTGCCCAAATGGCTATGACAAATTTGTTTTCGCCCATTAAGGATGATTGACGTTTTGTAATGAGCACCTTCACCCATTATCCAATCATAGTCGAGATTTATATTTAGCATCATGCACGCTTTTCGCTCGGCAACTGCGGAGATTTGCAATGCATGCTTTTTGCTCGGCAACTACGGAGATTTGCAGAGATTTTTTAATATGTACTATTTAAAGCACGCGTAGGAGTGTTTTATCAGATATAAAGATGGTCTGATAAAATACGCACTGCGAATGTTTTAAATTGCTTCAAAAACGATCGATCTAGCCATACGTTCATTGGCGAAGTAGCTTTCAAAAAATTCGGTGTGTATATGTAGAGAAAATCATTAAAATTTATGTAAATCAAGGGAAATCTCTATCACATATCAAGGATACGACACGTTTATGGTTTTTCTTTGTGTTTTCTCATGAATTATTATTGAGTTTTTGAAGCTATTTTAGACAACAGTCAGTCACAACGTGCACAGAGCTTTTATAGTTTAAAACTAAAAGACTCCTGAACCAACGGTTGTTTAACGTATTCTGCCGTATAGCAAATATAACATTGGAACTTATTTTGAAATGTTATTCTTAAAATCATCATCCAACCTCATAGTAGACTTTCGCAAAGTCCCTCGCCTTTAATACGTCCTTATTTATGCGAATGAATTTTTGAAAGTAATATGATATGCGCGGCAGGTCGACTTGGAGCAAGTCTAACCTCATAGCTGCAATGCCAAGTGATATAGCCTCAACTATCTGGTCTTGAATCATACTTTAAAGTGAACAAATAACAAGACACCTATATTAATTAAAGAAATATTCAGGATATATTTAAAATGTAAAATTGAAAGATCAAACTTTTCCGTATTCCTTAGAGGAATCGCGATAACCGGCGTTTTCGCCACGTAGCAAATTAATAATATACTTTCTCTGTTCTGGTTCAACTGAATTTCGAAGCCTAAATACTCGAAATATAAGAAAGTTTCCTCGAAAGCATTAACAGGCGGCATATTTTTGATACGCGACTATAAACGCGAGCAAAATTATTGTTGACATTTGAGTTACGTAATTACTTCCGTTAACGAGATTAACCAATGGGAGGCTTTTCCGAAGATTCTTCGGAGAAGAACAAATTAATCATAGGCATTTGGACAGGCGTTTATTTAACGACGCCCTTTCTTCTCCCGCCCGCACTAAACGCCTGCTACGCAGGCTAGGAAAATGGAAGAAAAATGCTCTTTCCAGAGGGGTTAAAAAGTAAAAATGCACTTCCAGAGGGGGTTCAAGTCTCTTGCAGAGGGGTCAATTACACAGATTTTTTTGCATTCCAGAGGGGTAAAAATCCCCAAAAGCGGAGGTCCTCGACAGGGGGGGGGGTTGGTTTTTTAATGTAATAGCCAAATACACTTAACACTTTCAAATAATAATAATATTGCTGTTTAGTAACACTACCTAAATGTGAATATGTCAACCAAAATAGCGATGTTTTCACCTTCATCTTTGATGTTTTGTCGACAATTGGTTTATCTTTATTCCCGTTGTTTTGTTGTGATGAAATAATGAACATATAATACCAAATTTCCAAAGCACAAATATGAATGAATGAATCCGGAAATGATCGATGTTTATTTATTTATAAGCCTGATCGCAGGTTACCTCATGTCATGAACGACAGTTTCTGAAGTTGACGACAATTTCCGTCACATCTTGACATCCCGCGAACGGGCTAGCCACAAAAATTCAATATATCTTTCTTGAAAATCTGAAGATCTTGAAAATCTTTCGCCCTTTCTTTCTTGAAAATCTGAAAATCTTGAAGAATCTTGCAAAAATGCGAGCAAAAATGAAATATATTTGCAAGAAATTTATCAATCATCAAATCAAGAAATGCTTGCTATTTCGCTGTCGTCATGCAGTCGTTATAGTGCAAACTTTAAATTGGACCAATCACAGTGTTCGCTATTCATGACAGTCCGCCATATTTTTGAGATCAGTGAGGATGACCACCCACGCACAGTGACTGTGAGCCACGCCCGCGATCATTGGTGAACTTTAGAATTCGCTAATGCTTTCGTTTCCCTGGGTGTAAATAGCCCGGGGGGAATTAGTACCCTCGCACGGCGCTTCGCGCCGTGCGAGGGGATAAACACCACGTAAATTTATTTCTCCTTTGTTTCTTTGCATGTTTAAACGAACAAAGTGGACAAGTGTTTGCCTCTTACCGTGCGATTGAACAACAATTCTGCAGTTGGTACTAGGTATCGTATTCTCTTAATTGATTCGTTTGCTGCTCGCATATCAACGCGTATTCTTAAGTATTTTTTATTATGTTTTTTATCGATCAATACTCCCAGTGACTTTATTGAACTGATTAGTATGCTCTATATCAGCGATTAGTGTGCTCTATATAGAGCATACTAATAAGGCTTTGTTTTGGCTTGTTTATCTTTTGTTGAATGCCAATTAGTATGCTCTATATAGAGCAAACTAATGAGTTATATAGACCCACTGTAACAGCTATGAAGGTCGCTGCGAGACAGTTTATGGGATATAGACCGCCGAAATACGTACTGAGTTCTGATTGGCTGAGTGGATGTGATCATGGTCTCAATATGGTATACGGCGCTGTATCTCGATCGATGTTTAATTTCACCGCGGTTCAGCTTTCCATGACCTATAAACAGTGCTTCATATTTAGTAATTATGTGCTCCATCTTACTGTCCGATTTGTTAAAACCTTGTTTACATGAATACCGATAAGACCAAGTTCCTGTGCAGGCTGTGGCTCATGAAATACATTTGGAACTACAATTTGTTCCATACATTGTTAAAGCGTGTGAACGAACGATGTTGGACTCGTGTGAACATGCAGGGTTTAACTGGTTAGCAAGAGTTGCGTTACGATTTTCCAGTAAACACGAAGCTCTAGGAAGATATTCTGTGACTGGTTGATTATAACGACACAAGACGTAATTGGCTTACATAAATAAAAGGAATATTGTTCTTGCTTCGTTCTTTAGAAAATCCATTCTATAGCGTATTCTTTTGTCATTACCATAATCAACCAATCACAGAACATGTTCCTAGAGCTTCGTGCCGACCCCGATTTTTGCAAGAAGGAGAAATAAGTTATTCACATTAGTGTTGCAATATGCTCGGCCATGATGCCCCAGACACTGAATGCTCCTATAGTCCTATCTTTCCGCCAGTTTATATTATTATTATTATTATTAAGTCTTTATTAAACATAGCCACAACAGACGTGTGACTTTACATTTAAAATTCTCATATACAAGGTTCCAAAAAAAAAAAAAATAAACTTAATTATTATTATGTATCTAAGTTAATTATTCTTAGGTAGAATTCTTAAAAAGACAAGTGTCCGGAAAAACATGGCGGATTTTCATGTTTGCTGACGCCAATTGGTTCCTCCGGCTCGTGGAAATTACCACTGGATCAACCGCGATCCTACGCTTGAAATAAAATCCTTCACCCCCCCGGTTTTTGCACAAATTTTGTCAGTGGTTTGTGTTTCGAGTTTCGGCTGAAAATATTGATATTTTTGTGGTCGAGGAAAAAGTGCGTTAGTTTTACGGTTTTGCTCTGCAGCTTGTAGATGAAACAATTCATTCGAAAGAAATTATATTTCTTGTTTCAGGTAAGAAGCTGCTTGGCATCTTAACTTGCCATTTCGATCACCAGTGGAAATGCATAAATGTACATTATATTGTCAAAAACTACCACTTTAAACAGCAAATGTATAATACCACAAGACATATCACAATGGATCAAAATGCTGAACAGTCAAAGCAAAATCATACCCACAGGCTACAAAGTCAGTAATAATAACTTGTCAAATTAATGATTATCCTTTATAAAGAAGTTGAATTAAAAGAATAACTATACTGTCTCACCATCAAATAATTCTGTAGACTGCGAGCGGTCCCTCCTTTCCGCGGGTTTAGATTTCCGGGCATGCGAAAGGAAAGGACGGACTGCCAACAACACATCAAGAAATGAAATACGCGATGCAAGATTCCCATTGGTCGAAATCGATACGCCTGTCAATCAAATCTGATACGTAGTAATTATGCCATAAATAATTTTCAGACTGAAGTTGATTTTATAAATAAACATGACTTCAAATACTCATTAATAATTCATAAGCTTATTGGCAAATCATGTC